CTGAACATATGAGAAAGTTCCTGTTTGGCTCTTTTAGCCCCATGTCTCTTATTCCTAGCAGGATCTCCTCCACTAGCAGGCTTTTTCAGAGAGATTGGAAAGCTTAATCGTAAAAGTAAACCTGGAAAAAGCACCGGATTAAACCATTTATCCTTCTTATTCTAGTTTTGAAAGATTCCTTCATCTTGCTCTGGCTAACCACTTTGTGCTTGTTTTGCTGAGTTCGATGTAAATTTTGAATGGTGAAGGGCCCTATTTTTTATTTGCATTTTCACAGGGATTTCTCTAGCTACTGTATCGGGCTGATGTTGTCACTCATTAGATGGCCATGGAGAGCATGCTATTTTGTTAACACGTGTCCATGTTGATTTATTGCTGGATAGTTGAGTTGTCTGACCTTATTGTCAAAGAAATTTCAAGTAGTTCTGCACAATATCATGTTTTTAATTTACAGTTCTTTAGTTTATGAATTTAAGGGGATTTGTTACCGACTTCTTAGAATGATTAAACTTCTGGTGCATATAATTGACTGTCATTGATTAAATCTATCTTTAACTAATGTATTAATTGTTTATAGCGGTAATGAGAGGTTTTATTCGACAATAAATTACTTGTTTTTCTTGAGTAGACCATTTGTCCTGAATCATCATTTAAAAGCTTCTATTGCCTGCAGATTTCGGAACTTAACCTGACAGGTTTTGTCGTGGGCTACCCTTTCGACAGACAAAAAAGTTCCCCAGGAGTGCGTTTTCATCATAAGATTATTGCTTTAGTCTATTTTCTTTTATCATTCTAGTCCCTCGTATATCTTGACAAACCAATTCTGTCTCATCTCTTTGATAGGCTGTACAAGTGAAGCTTTTCATCGATGATCTTTGTAAAACCGGGAAATTTGAAGAGTTAAAGTATACCTTTTGGGACGAGTGCTTTACATCGAAGGTGTGGACTACTCTTTTCATCCTCACTTGTCTATTACTTGTCCTTATGCTTCCATTTGTGCCTGAACGTATACTTGTGGTGTATTGGTTAAACCAAGGTAAGAAATAGAATTATTAAGATGCGACTACTCTGAAATTTGTTCCTACATACTTGACTGATTAAACAAGGCCTAACTTTATTAAATTAAAAAAAATGTTAAAATTTTATGATCTCAAACCACGTGACAAACATGCGTAAACTTGTACTTGCAGTGTTCATCCATTTTTCATTTGTCATCAGTCTTTGTGATTTAGAATTGAAACTTGGTAATTTTTTCATCTTTTGAGGAGATGTACTTATTAATGAATATATTGAACTGTGTCTCAGAATGTCGATTTCCTCTTGAAACCTTTGAACTTGCATCCAGTGCTGTCGAAGACAATAATTGACAAATTTGCTGCTGTAGGAATACTCCAGGTATGAAGAACCTTCCAATATGAGACGTTTATTTCACCATTTGTTCTGCAAATTTTGTTTTAGTAGGAT